AAAAAAAAAAAAAAATTCTGAGCTAACTACTCCTCACAGTATCTCTGGCATTGTCACAAGAAATCTTTGTTTGCAAACAGAAATATTTTTATCAGAATTTTTCTTATCAGTTCCACCACCATCAAACTTTTAATTCCTGTTAAAAAGTATTTAAGTTGCATTTGCTTACAATCATCTGTGGACCCACAGCAAAAGTAAAAGGATACTGAGGTGACAGCACTCTACCTACCATGGAGGGGTTTTCATCTCAGCCTCCTAAGGCACCACTCACAGTCCCTCGTTCATCAAATGAGAAATGCCTAGGTCATCTTTTGTCTCTTCTAAAATTCCTACCTTGACAGAAATTCAAATTTCTGTCAAGTCTCAGTACTGAACAGGCCAGGAAAAGCTGACAGCAGAAGGCTAAGTGAAAAATACCGAGTAACATATTTTGTCCTCTTCCCAGTCCGGCGGTGCCAACCTTAATGCACTCAGCCGACCCAATGGTGGGCGGGGGCTCCCCTTGCCTGGCTGCTGCTGCTGCATTACTGAGCACACCAGGCCTCGCTTTTAATGAGAATGAAAAGTAGGGAGCAATGAGAAGTCCTTCCCAAGAAGTTGTCCCACACCTGGCTCAGGGACCTTCACTGATGTCAGCAAGAGTCTAGTCACCCATCTGAGAAACCACTCCCGAGTCCTGCTTCCCCGGGAAATGGTAACGTCAAGTCTGTCCCCAACAAAGGACCAAGGAAAATCCTTATGCTAAACAAGAGCCATTTCAAGTGTGCTTCAAAATAGCCAGTATCCCAAAGAAACTACCATTGTAGAAAGAGAAAATTGGATCCCAAGAGAATTCTGACCATAAGGATTCCCTGATTTAGACTGAAACTAGAAAAAACAGGAGAAGAGGAAGGATGAAATAAAGAGTTCCAACTTGGTGAATCCACAGAATTTGATTCAGGATTATGCAGGTAAGAAATGCGTTTCAGGTGTGGGGCCTTGGGTTCATCAACTACCATTATCTGAAAATCATTTAAAACTCAAATACCAAAGAAACTTTATTTCCCATAATGATTTACTACCAAAAACATCACTCACCTTTAAAAAAAAAAAAAGGAAAGGGGCACCTGGGTGGCACAGTCGGTTGAGCATCCTACTCTTGGTTTTGACTGAGGTCATGATCTCAGAGTCCTGGGATCAAGTCCCACATCAGGCTCCGAGCTCAGAGCAGATTCTGCTTGAGAATCTCTCCCTCTTCCTCTGCCCCTCCCCCAGTGCTCGAGCGCCTGTGCATGCTCTTGTTCCTTCTGGCTCTCTAAAATAATAAATGGAGGGGTGCCTGGGTGACTCAGCGGGGAGTTTGCTTCTTCCCCTCCCCCTGCTCTCTCTCTCAAATAAATAAAATCTTTAAAAAAAAAGAAAGGACATTTTCTTTTTCTGCCAACCTAATCCAAAGAAAAAAGCAACTTTCACCCCCATCTCCAAATACTATCATGTTCTCACACCAAACAAGGATATAGCATCCTGATGGCACATGGGTTCAAAAGAACAGTACTGGGTGCCTGGGTGGCTCAGGTGGTTGGGTGACTGCCTTCGGCTCAGGTTATGATCCTGGAGTCCCGGGATCGAGCCCCGTATCGGACACCCTGCTCAGTGGGGAGTCTGCTTCTCCCTCTGACCCTACCCCCTCTCATGCACTCTCTCTCACCCTCTCTCAAATAAATTAAAAAAAAAAAAAAACTTTAAAAAAAACCCCAAAGAACAGTATTATGAATGCAATACTACAGGGCGCTTGCAGATCTTGGAGGCTTGGCGGCCCCCCTAGCTTTCTGCACCCTCACTTCCCTTCTGAACACAAATCGGAATACATTCAAGAACAGTAATATGAAGAAGCCTAAGTATCACAGGCTGAAAAAATGAAAATTTACTGGAAGAAAAAAGAGTGCCTTAGGAAGGCTGAGGGATTGTGTTCTTATGACTTCTATTTAATTTTTTTCACAGGATGATGGAAAGACCATGTTTACGATGATCAAGAAGTGGCCAATTTCTAAAGATACCAAGTTTGCAGAGACCGGATTTTGCAATTTCAATGGACTATACTAAACAATGTTACTCTACAATAATTTAAGCCAAAAGGGCTTCAAAGATGTTTAAAATTTACTGAATATCTGTAACTCTAACAAAAACAGTTGCTAGATTAGCAAAAGGGCCACACAGAATTTAAACATGTAATCTCTCACAATTTGGATTATAAATTCAGAGTTGTCTTGAAGCATTCACACATATAGTACTACTTCTTACAACTTAATAGTAATACAAATCATTTGAGGGCTTAAAAAAAAGTTAAATGGATTACTCTCTGGCTAAATGTAAACAGTTGCAGTACAAAGAGAATTAGGACCTTTACAACATGGTTTTCACTTTTTATAGTACTTTATCCCTCATTAGTTTTGACTTCCAGACTACTAAAGAACCAATACTTAGAGCAAATCATTGTTTCCAATCCTCTGAGACTCGTAAAGGCTGATAGGTCAATGGAACAAATTAATACCACAAAGAAAGGGCAAAAAACTTATGTTGATGAGCATGTAGTAAACTCCACATAATTATCAGTAGCTGGGGCTCCTGGGTGGCTAGGTCATTAAGCGTCTGCCTTCGGCTCAGGTCATGATCCCAGGGTCCTGGGATCGAGCCCCACGTCAGGCTTTCTGCTCAGCGGGAAGCCTGCTTCTCCCTCTCCCACTCCCCCTGCTTGTGTTCCCTCTCTTGCTGTCTCTCTGTCTCACTATCAAAATAAATAAATAAAATCTTTAAAAAAAAAATTATCAGTAGCTGAGGCATGCCAGAGTAAAGTGACTTATCACCTACTTTCTCAACTGGTGACTTCTTGGCTTGCTCATTTCCTTGCATAGATTCTGAACACTCGTCTTCTGGAAGTGCTCTCTTTGGTTGGTTCTGCTTCAGCTTTTGTGCCCATGATGTTATAGATTTACTATGCAAAAAGAGAAAACCAAAATTATTCTTTTTAGATGCTGTCCTTCACACATAAAACTAAACACTAGTGAATACTAGTCAGTGGAAAATGCTTTGAGTTGTTTTTCTAATAGCAGAGAAAAGACGTATTTTTATTGATTCACCTAAATTTCTTTTTACAGTTTTTCATTACCAAAGGTAAAGTGAACAAAAAAACTAACGGTGATTGGTAATACATATAGCTGTAGCCACAGAGTAGAACAAAACTGATCATAGTGGCCCATTCAAGTACTCAATATATCTCCACAGCAAAAGCTTCTTTATTTACGAAGACTAGTAATTATACTTACAGATACACAAGATCTGTGTTGCTATAGCTGAACACTTATTTTAGAGGATACATTTTAGAGATATAAAACTGAACATTTAGGATAAATGACATAATTTTAAATGATTATTTGCTTTACAAACATCTAGCCACAGTTGTCATTAAACTTACAAAAGTTCCTCTTATACACAAAAAGCATTAAATTGAATATACTCGTGTATGATGTTTGGTTTCAAATTATATGCACGTATGTGACAAAACTCTACTGTTGATACAGTCCTATACTCGAATTTTCAGCAAGTTTATAGTGACTGGAAAATATAAAAGGTATTTTTCTGGCAAGGCCTCCCACTTAGGAGGTTACAGTAGTCTTACAACATTGCAAATGGGAAGAAAGTCACATGTTGGTAATATATCACATGCTTTATTTCCATTTGCCACAAGCAATAAATACAAGACTTTGGGAAAGCTGCTAAGTGTTCAAATACGTCTCATTTTATCATACTCAAAAAGGAGCTTGCTTTACTAGATTCTAAATGTAATAAACAAGCAAACCTCCCTTCAAATTATGGGAGAAATTCTACTTACCTGTTTGTTTTTCCACTGTATACTTCTGAAATCTTATTTTCGCCAAGAAAATGGTGTTCAAATTCACCAGGAAAAATGGAAATATCTTCCTTTACAGATGCGCAAAACTCTTCAGTGGTATGTATATGAAAACTCTTGTTTTTTACACCATCTACAAGTGACTCCGTCTGCCCCAAAGGCGCTCCAAACTGTCCTTCAGAAACTTCTGTGTGCTCCATGAACTCCTGAGGCTCCTTAGATTTGTAGGCATTTAATTCAGAGACACAAAAGGTACCATACCCACTGCTCACTGAGCTACTATCCACATTGCAGTCTGGTTGTGACGTGGACGTTTCTTGCTGCATTTCGGGTTCTGTAGACTTAGGATAACTGATAATAGGTTCATTTCTCTCACTGTTTTCAGAAAAAAAACCCATTTGACTTTCTGAAGATAACTGTTTGCTTAAAGAACTATCGGAGGAAGCCCAGGAAGTATTACTGGTCTGTAACTTGACTAAATTTTTTATCTCCTCCTGTATTCGCTGAAAATAAAGTTATAGATCTGGGTAAGAAAGTATACTAAACATTACACTTTCATAAATACTATGAAAATATTGCTTAAAAATATGAGCTATTACTCTAAAGAGAATCTGTTTTTAGTTCAAAAACCAAACTGATACGAAGTATTAACTGCTTCCTCTTGCAAATCTTATAAAGAAAAGAATCAAGATAACTAACAACTTACTTGAATTTGGTTGTGGAACTGTTCCTGCTGGGCAACTATCTGTTGTTGGCATTGTTTTTCCACCAAATTGAATAGTTGTAACCACCTGGTCTATTAAATTATAAAATATTTTAGTTAAAAATAATTTCTCATGTAATAGTCACAGAAAAATTCCTCCCGTGGGAAAGGACCTTTTTAAAATATAGTTTTAATGTAAAGTGAATACGCTGAATGAAATAGCTACAAAGCTATATTTAATGCAAAAATACAAAGGCACAGGCGTGGTCACCCCTTTTTCTCATGTAACCTGCAGTCTGGGTCAATTTGAAGGTCTGGGTAAATCTCGTTTTTCAAGTGACATCTTAATTTGATGTCCTCCGCTATCATCAAGAATTGGCAGTTTATATTTGTCTTCAATTTTTCTTCCTTTCCTTGTAACAGCTAATGATTTTCTTAAACAATTCTTAGAAAAAAGAATTCCATTAACATAAGAATAAAAAAAATTTAAAAAAAAAAAAGAAAAAAGAATCCCACGCCTTAAAACAAGAAATAATTTGGTATTGTGGGATTTAAACCCCTAATTTACTTGTTATTTAAGTTAAAAAAAAAAAAAGAACCTTTTTCAAATTAGATACTGAAGTGTTTGACAGCACTACAGCTGAGAGAGGAATGAAAACCCACGGAACTGGCTTAGCCCTCCCTTCAGTCACTTTTAGGTCCTGATCCATCCTGACTCTCAAGAGGAGTCAGTACTTTTTTTTTTTTGAAGGCCATCAGCAGACAAAGGAGTCAGTACTCTTATAACCAGACTACAAAACACGGCAGGAAAGGGGGCAGGGAGATGTCCAGAGGCTAAATTCAGTCTTAAGGCTGGTGTCCTTTCAGTAACAGACTCTATGCAATAATATACAATAAGCAACTACCACGAAAAAGAGCTTCCCTTATAAACCATGCAATTATCTTTCCACTCCTGTATTCCTTATAGCGCTCTGAGTGATCCGGCCCATGCACACCTCCCAACTTCATCTCATCCGTCTCTACCCCTCACTCAGTGCACACCAGCCTCACTGGCCTCTACCTTTTCCCTGAGCATGCCAAAACTGTCTTCCACCTCAAAAGCTTTGTCCTCACTGTACCCTCTACCTGGAAAGTTCTCTCTCCAACTCTTATCATGGCTTCTGTCCCTTCTTGCAATTTCAGCTTAACTTCTCAAAGTTTCCCAAACCATCCCACGGTTGCTCTCTAAACATCATCCTGTGTATTGACTTCATAGCCTTTACCACAATCAGAGAGCATCTCGTTTCTTCACTTTGTTAACCTGTCTCCAGCACCTGGGACACAGTGCCAAGAAAAGAGTGGGCACTCATATATAGTCTAAGTGGGTGAATAAAACTGTGAACTTCAGGGGCACCTGGCTGGCTCAGTCAGTGGAACATGCAACTCTTGATCTTGGGGTCGTGAACTTGAGCCCCATGTTGGGGGTAGAGTTTACTTAAAAAAAAAAAAAAAGTGAATTTCAAGCTGATTTTTTTTCTTGGTGTTAGACTACACAATCCAGAGGCCCTTCAGATTAAAGCCAATTCAATAACCATAACAGAGCAGAATTAAATTGAAAGCTACATAACAGTATTAAAGCAAAGGAAGTAAAAACTCTCAGGATTGGAAAAGGAAACCTTCAAATTGAAACAGAACAGTACTGATAGGAAGTATTGATTCTAAATCAACTAACTTCAGGATAAGGTAGGCTACAACAAATTCAGTTCCTTATCTTGTCAACTTATCTATAATATGAAGTATCTTAATCAAAACAAAAAAGAAATCAGGCATCAGTTTTCTTATTAAGTTATACTAACTTAAATACTTTAGAAGTTATTTTAACCTGATGAAGTTATTAGTCACACAGAACTAAATTACAACAATGATAGAATAACATACATAACAACAACAACAAAAAACCAAAAATGGGTTCATTATTATGTGACACACTTAATGTTAATCATATCCTTATTATCATTTTCTTATTTAAGATATGAATGAACAGAGCTTACTCAGGATATAAATTGGTGGAGATTTTGTTATGCCTAGTCGGATTTTATATTTTAATATTCAATAAACATATTTAAGAACATTATAATGCAGCAAATATTATTCACATAATTATTAAGAACTATAATTTATTTCTAACTAAAATTATTTATATGACCTGCATTTTACATACTTTTGGAGGACTTGGGCATCTAATTAAAGCTTTCCCCTGCACACAGCTTTTGATGCTATTAGCTTGAAAGGGGTTTCTATAGTCTGACCTCGTAAATATCCCATTGGCTTTGACATCCTAGGCCTGATTCCCAGCTCTCCACTAACAACCTGTGTGGTGGTCCTCAACAAGTAAATTTCATTTGTGCTTCTTATGCATTTATAAAATGGGAAGAGCAACACCTCGTAGGTGGCTGGGAGGATTAAATTTTAAATTCAAATATGATGCATGTGAAGCAGTAATCCCAATGGGGGGAACTACACTTTGAAAAACTGTGAGGTCATGGCTGTCACAAAGATAGCAAGGGCACTACCAGCACTCAGTGGGTCCAGGGAAACAAATCAAAGGATGGTCCCCAACAACGAAAAACTGTCCTGGGTCCATTTTATATTATTATAAAAATACCATATATTTTGCACAGCTTTCAAATCATCAAATGGTCCAGGAATCCAACTACAAAGATGTTAAGTTTGTTTCAGAACTCGGTCAGAAATTGGTCACCATTTCAGAAAATCATGTCACCAAACGCAGTGCTAGATCATCAGGACAACACAATTGTATCAGTCCATGTCTATAGCTGCTGCCTTCACAGGGAGTCTACATATCAACACCAGGCTTTTCTTCTAACGTGGATGCACATGAGCAAATACCTGTTTTTGTATTATAAGTAACTTTTATTCCTCCTCTTTATCACAGTTAAGAGGATGATTATTTTTACGGTAGGTACAGGCAGGATGTATCTGTGAATTTCATTTAAGTTGATGTTACTTTAAAAATTGTAAAATATAACTGTAAAATGTAAATTAGTAAATTAATTGTAAAATTATAAAATGAGGGCTTTAGGTCTAATAAGGTTGAGTGCCACTGACAAAAAGTGTCTAGTATACTGCTTGGCAAACAGACACTCAATAAGTGGTACACTTACAATAACTATTATCACATAACCATTACTCTTACATAATCAGTAGCGCTAAATAGTTAAAATGCAAAAATAATGAATTAAGACAAATAAGCTAATAATGTGCTTTAAAAATTCACCATCCAGAAATATTAGCAACAGCAAGCATTTAAGAATGTATTAAAGTGGGCGCCTGGGTGGCTCAGTTGGTTAAGCGACTGCCTTTGGCTCAGGTCATGATCCTGGAGTCCCGGGATCGAGTCCCACATCGGGCTCCCTGCT